GTGCGCACAGGGTCCCGGCCGCGCGCGCGGGCGCCGGCTCGGCCTCCCGCCCTCAGCCCTCAGCCGCGCGGGGCCCGCGGGGCGGGAGCGCCAGGCGTCCTGCGCCCACAGGTGGCGGGTGTTCACGCCCATGGGTTTCTTTCTTTGGGGTTAAAGGAAATAAATTGGTTGCATTCGTTTTTGATCTGGGGGCAGCATGAGGCTCTGGATGTGGGGGTGTGTTCTAGCACAGACCTCTAATGGATGGGGAAACTGAGGCCCGGAGAGGGGAAGCCAGCTGCCCAAGTCTAGGGAGCTGGTGGTCCGGGTGCTCCCGTCGCTTTCTTGGGGGCTCTCTGTGCTACGTTATACTAAGTCAACTGTCATTTGTATTACTTTATTCCCGGAGAGAGAATTAATCCTGGTTTAATGGATATTGGAAATTCTTTGTTACTGTGGCTATAGAAGCGAAGAACAAAAGCAATTATTTAAGTAATTTAGGCCTGAGGCTCTCTCCTTTTGACTCTAATTTGGGTGGGCGGTTCAGCAAGAGTGGGAAAGGGGATCAATTTGCACACCTCTGCTCTGGCTTGTACCCTTCTTTGCTCTGTAGACAGCCAGAGGACCCAAAGGAAGTTATTTCATTCTGTCAAGATGGTTGAGACCTATGGCTGTTTCTTATGGTGCCGTGACACATGAGCAAAGGGGAACAAAGTATATACCCTTACGTTACACTTGTCCCAAACTAACAATAGCAAGCTTTGAATTGAGTTCTTTCTGTCTGTCAGGCACCCTGCTAGCTAGGTGTTTCATGGACGCCTCACTTCATCCTCACCACAACCTTGTGATTACCTCCATTTTACTCAGTGGAGGAAACTGAGTCAGGAGAGGTTAAGTAACTTGCACAAGGTCACACAGCTAGGAAGTAGCAGAAACAAGATGGGAGCCAAACCAGTCACTCAACTGTTAGTCCTTTTTCACTGTGTGACCTGCCTCCCACTATAACCCACAAGCTTCCTGTCAGGTTCTGGTCAGGGAAACAGAGTTCACATCGAATTCTGCCCTTTCTCAAAAGACTACAAATAAACCCTCTAATCTACTAGGCATGCTATTGGTAACGTACTTTGCTCTTGCTCTTTATTTACTTGAGGTAACATAGAACAGTATAGATGTTACAAGGACTTGGAAAATGTGTAAATTCTCAGACATGTCCTTTACAGAGAAAGCAGTACTTCGTGTCTGTCATAAAGAAAAGTTCCAAAGTCAACACACACCAAAAAACCATTTTCTAGCACATAGAAAAGTCCCTAGGATGTGTAACAGAACAAAAGTACATATTGATGCCAGCTCTGCAAGGGAAAATCATACATCTTGTATAGGTGTTTCCTGGATTCAAAATTAGTCTTTCAATGTGTTCTCTGTGGTATTTTCCTTATCTTCCAAACTTCTTAGCATGGCATGCCAAAAAATAAATAAATAAATAAATAAAACCATCATGTTCATTCCATTTTTAGACCTAAACACAGTGCCTGTCATGTCTGTAAAGAAAAGGAGGGAGAGCACGTTAGGAAGAGGGGCACTGAGAGTGAGAATAACCCATTATTTTGCCCAGGGAGCTTCTAGAATCTATGGCATTCCCAAAGTACTGTTTAAAGTACTTTACTTTTTCATCTTTTGCTTTTAGTCCATTGACTTTAAAAGCTCTTCCAGAGGACAAGAAGCAAACTACTACCCAGTCCCCAACTTGTTTACTCCAAAGACATGAAAAAGTCACTTATTTTGTTTCTGTAATTCTCTTTCTCAAGAAAACAATATCACATACAGCTCAGTCCTGCTAGCCACTGGACAAACACTGCTGTACCATCTCCCTGATGAACTGGTCACAGCCAAATCCCCCAAGGCACAGCAGACTGGTGAACCTTAGCAGATTGCAACCTTCCAACCAGGGCTCACTCGTCACAGAGGGCCTCACTCTTGGAGTTGAATGTTGTGCAGTTGCCATTTTGAAATTTTCAATAAGGTAATCTTTGAATATCTTTTGTAAATGAAGTCTGTTGGAACAAGGGAGCATGTAATGGGACTTGGCACGTGCCGTTCTGCCTCCTGCCCTGTGGAATGGGTTCTGTACCTCCTTTCCCTCCTTCTCTCCCAGCCCCACCCTTCTGCTGCCCTCCATTCCAGGCAGGGGCTGGTTCACAGATGCAGGGAGGGTTGGGTTGGGATGGAGCGCACACTCCATGGTGTTGCTCTGCCCTGGACTGGCAGAACCACAGTGTGTTTAGAGGGTGACTGGGCTGGAGGTAAGCCTCCTTTCACATTAATTCACCATTTAATTTACATATAAACTCAACCAAGATACGACCTAATTAACACAACATATTTTAAGTTATTTTGGGATGGTATGATTGCTCTAAATATTTATTTCTCGTGTAGGTTTGTGTTTATAACACTTCTTTAAAGTGCAAAACACTTGAAACACCAGCATTAACGTTCTCTAAAGAATTAAGAGAAGAAATGAATGAGGGTTCAAGCACTTCCTTTCTTAAGATGCCTTGTTCAGTTAACTAGTCTTCTTGGAAAGTTTATGTCATTTTTAAAGGACACGGCTTGTACACCAAACTTCAGAAAGCCTCACTTCAGAAAGCCTCACAATAGAAAATATGTTTAAAAAGAGTTGCTAAAGACATTACAAGTTCATCTTTTAATTGACTCAGGCAAGAAGTGATCAACTACACAATTCTGTACAAAGCCTTTGAAGCCGTATTGTAGAAAATAAGTTTCTATGAAGTGTTTATCCTAGGATTAAAAGTAGTAGCTCAACCTTTGAATGGCCTAATTGATAATAAACTATAGTTCAAATTTCTTACAACAAATTAAGTGTCAATATTTTAAAAGGAAATTATTATTTTTCTCAGTGACTGTGAAATCTCTCTTCTATACTTAGCCCCATCATGGAACAAAAAGCATTATGAGTTAGCAGTTGATTGAAATGGAAGAACAACTGACAATATTGAACTTGAACTGAGACCCTGTGTTCCTGGTAAGTAGTGAGAGTGGAAAAATCCCCCCCACCATTTTGTCTTCTGAGAAATGACCACCCTGCTCTGATATATCCTGAGATAAGACCCATCTCTACCCTTCCTCAATGAATGTGACTCTCTTGTTTACTTGGCTCTTTGGATTTCTTGATCCCCTTCCTTTACTTTGAGAAACTCCTCATTAATGAATGTCCTGCCTATTGCTTTAGCCTGGTAAAACCATCTCCTTAATTATCCAGTGCATTTTTTTCTTTTACAGTTTTTTTAAAAGAGAAAAAAAATGTTCAAGCTTGTTGTTAAATCCCATGAACTCAGATTGCAGTTGGAAAGTGATGTGACTTTGATAGTAAACAGGGTTTTATGGTTTGATCAACTGTTTTAAAGCAATGTTTACAAGGACAGAGTAGGTGGCTCCATTCCATAGATGAGGTAGATGAAGTGTCACACTGACTGCTTGGCCTAAGGCCCTGCCGGGAAATACCAGCAGCACCAGATACGGAATTGTAACTAAAATAGCAATTTCCTACCACCACTTTCTCTCCCTTGAGGGTGTTGTTTAATCTCATTGGAATTTTGACCTTAATGATAATTACAGAATTAGATATAATTACAGAACTGGATATAATTCCTTTCCTCATTAAGCTCCATGTTTAAAAAATTATAAGTATATATGTGTGTTTTTGTGATTTAAGCAGGCTTATGAGTGGCACAATATAAAATGATTGACCTTGGGGCCGGCTGTGCGGTTCAGTTGGTTAAGAGCTCACTCAAGAGTGTGAATTTTGAGCAACAGCGTCACCGGTTTGATTCCTGGCCCGAGCTGAGCTGTCAACAGCTGCCAACAGGTGGCAGGATGGCTCAACTAACATAAACAAACAAACAAACAAACAAACAAACAAACAAACAAACAAAATAAAATGACCTTACTCATGAAAACTAACCCACCTGCAAGAATTAAGACAATGTAACCATAAGTTATGATTTTCTAGCAACTCGTATGCAAATATTTGCAAACTCTGTTACTCTTCTGCTTACAAAGATGGCTTATGATGGCAATAACAGTCATAGAAGGAAGCAAGTTTTCAATAAATAGAGCTGCTTTAATATATGTGTTGTATATAATGCTGAAACTTCTATTATGTAAATGGAATGCCGTGGATATCTATAAGGCTTTGGTATTGGGGGGAAAAAAGAAATAATATGAAAAAGTTTCTTCAGTGACCGTAATCATTACCCCAGAGCTGAACAGACAAGTGAGTGAGCCTAACATGGCAGATTCTAGTGGTAAACAGGGATTCTTACAAAGGAAATAAATGCTGAAATTTGGATCCATCTAGAAATTTTATTTCTAAAATAATTTTACTTCTAACTATTCTTTCTATTGCTAATTACAACCCATTATAGTAGCACACAATAGGAAATAAAGCAAATGTCCTCCGGTGGAGATGGGTTAAGTACTATGGTGCATCCATTCAGTGGACTGCTCTGCAGCATATAAAAATTAGTTTGGAGGGGGAAATGGCATAAAAATTGTTTATGAGAAAATTGAATAACATAGAAACTTGTTTATGATCCAGAGAAGTAAATCTGGCTACAAGTGGCTAAATTTAGACATATTCCTGAATAGAATGTAAGCTCAATAAGTGAGGGACTATGTCCATCTTTTGTTACTGTATCTCCAGCACAGTGTTTGCTATGATATGTGTTTAAATTAATAAATTTTAGTATATACAAAATGGTTCCATAAGAAAAATATGTTATGCATAGAAAAACTCTAAGAATATGTATTAAAATATTAACTGTTTAATTCCAAGTGGATGATTCTTCCTTTGCCAATTGGTTTTTTTTGGGGTTTTTTTTTTTAAAGATTTTATTGGGGAATTGGGGAAGGGAACAGTGTAGGGGAATCGGGGAAGGGGAACAGACAAGTTGCTATCCTTTGGTTCTTCAGTCTGGTTGTGGAGGACGTCGCTTCACTGGCCCATGTTGGTATTGTGATCATTGCGCTTTTTCCAGCTGAGGCAGATTGGTCACTGGCCATTGAATGGTTGCTCACAGTGGCTCATAGCCACTCACACTGGCTGCCGGCCACTCACGGTAGCTTTTGGCAGCCCACTGCAGCCCCACTGTAGAATATGCCGTCACTGGCAACTCACAACAGCTCAACTCTAGGTCCAGCTGTTGCTCACTATCTTAGCTGTAGAGGGTGCAGCGTCACTGGCCCATGTGGGATCCGAACCAGCGGCCCTGATGCTCAGAGCTCACGCTCCCAAGCCAACTCCCAACCAATGAGCCACTTGGCCGGCCCTGCCAATTGGTATTTTTAATTTTTATAATAAAATTGTATTTCTTATGTAATCAGAACAAAAACAATAAAATTAAATTTAAAATATATCTCTTCATTGCTTTTCCAGAGCAGTACTTATAAAATAGTCCATTTCTATATTTAGGCAGTTTACAGAGCTGGCTGGCTTTTTCTTAATCTTAGAAAGCAGCTTATTTTCTGAAATCCTTGCATTTTATCCAGGCTTACCCCTCAGTGAACAATCACACACAATCTGTTTCAGCAAATGAGCTGAAAATCAAATGAGGTAACTATTATATGCGGTCTGTCACTCATATGTAAATAGCATGTCATTCTTTTTTAAATAAGAAACCCGATGAGAACCCTTGTTGCTCCCAGGTAGAAATGAAGCTCACTATTCACTTTGAGAAGAAACTGGCTAAAATCCTAGGAGCTCATTCCAAACTCTCTAATTATTCCCTAGAGCAGTAAACATATTTTATTTCTCAACGTTAGACATTTATTGCTGAAGAACACAATGCTTGCGTTTCTAGACATTAACAAAAGTTATGTTTGATTGGCCAACAATTGTGCATTACTTCCTCAAGAGGAATGCCGAATATATGTGTGCTATGATAGAGACCCATTCTTGTAGACTAGATGGCAAAATGCATTCAGCGTGCGTTTGATTTAAAATTCTGAAATGAATATGCCCAAGGGGAGCATTAGACATCCTGAATGTTATAGTTCAAAGAAGGAGAAAAACAGCAATGTCTGAAGAACCAGCGTTGGAAGAAGGGAACAGTGTAGATTTGTTCTGTTCATTTATAGATTTGTCCTTTTTTAAAAAACACCAGTTATATATAAAGGATGTCAGAATCAGAAATGTTAATCCAACTGTAGTACTCTGCCTAAATAATAGCCACAAATTTCCAAAGAACCATCTAGGATATTGATCTGTTCTGTCTTTTGAAAATAGAATCCTATGAAAATACTATCCTTTTTAAGTCAAGCTTAAAAACTATTAAATAGTTTTAAAATTTATTTATGGTCTGTCTACAATTAAATGGAGAAAGGTTTTAAATAAATTACACTAGCTCAATTTTGGACAGTTTCCTAGAAAAATATAATCCTTGGAAAGTTTTGAAAGAAATGGAAAAGTTGTATTAAGAAAATAAAATGAAGTATCCCAGAATTAGCCTGCCCATGAGAGGAATCATAATAGAAAAAAACATTTGCTTTTAAATCTTTGCATCCAAAGGGAAAATGAATTTCTAGAATCCTATGTCATTCACAGCAGAAAATCAAAATCAATGTTATTGGTAAACAATAAGGAAGTTATTTGTCTCTTCACCTGGCATAAAATAATTCAAATCATTATGGTTCACCTTATGGTAAAATGAATGGCAATACACTGCAAATAATACACTGTTTAATTTATTTCCCTTAATTCAATCCCAGAAATCAAAATAGGAAGGGAAGTAGTTCACACTTCCTACAAAGAATTTTCTCCAAATAGAATCTTTTGTCACAAAATATTCAACACAAAAGCATGCACACTGCCAGTCTACCAAAAGAATGCTGAATCATTGGGGGGTTTTCTACTTAATAAACATCTATTTAATACCCACTTGACCTGATTGACTTGGTTCAACCAAAGTTACTAAAGATTACTAGCGGATATATACATTTTATCCAATTTTTCACTCAATACCATGTCTGGAAGCATCTTCAGATACTTGTAAATTGAGAGCCCACTTTCCTTCATGGGTGTTCCTTTCCTTTGTTTGGTATCCCCTTTTTAGAACCCAGGCAGCATAATGTACATACTTATAATTTAACCTCCAGTACATTTGTTATTTATTATAGCTACCAGTTCACTGTTCCTGCTAGACTGTGGTTCACTGATAGCAGTGGGGAATGTCATTTTGTGTTCATTTTCTTAGTACATAACACCTAACATGTGTGGCACATCTAGGAGATCAAGAAACATTTCGTGAATAAAGTAACTAATTAATTAAATACCTCCAAAAAGCTATGAAAGCTATACCTCAATGACAAAATGAAAGATGCTCTTATTGAAGTGTGACATATTAATTTAACATTCGGATGGGAAGACTGAGTGAAGTTTACAGTTTTTTGTCACCCTGGGACTCAATAACATATGAAACTTACTAGTGACATAAAAGAGTTGACTGGAGATGGGAGAGGGAGGCTCTCCGTGGGACTCAGCTATGTGCGTGTCCATGGTACCACTGTCACACTGATGTTCTTCCTCGGGAGGAGTCAGCTGTTAGGTCATTGGGCTCTTGACTAGCACCAAAGCACCAAGGAACAAACTGTCCTTGAATTATTGTCATAGTCCAGTTTTATTCCTAAATTAAATACAGGAAATTTACATTTAGAAAGCAAGGAGGGTCCAGATGCAATTACAAAGCCCTTCCCTATGGAAATTATTTTTCCGTAATATACAGGCCTGCGACTCTTTATCTATGAGTCAGATTCTCCTAGGCTCTTAACCTCTCTTAGATGTAAATCAGTCAACTTTCAAATCTTCTTTAGGCCAGGAGACATGACTGGCTGACTCTCAGTCTAATTTATATTCCAGAGTTGTTTATTGTTGTCATTGTTCAATATACTCTGACTCCAAAATAAGTTTTATATGTTGGGAATTGCTCTTCACACATACATACCCCAGTAAAACAAATTAAATATAATATACACAATGGGAAACAAAATCCTTGAATAAGTGTCAATGACATGGTTGTTACCCAGAATGACTCTACCAACGTGGCCTCCTAGGAATTTTCTTCTCTTTATCTGAGCTGAGTCTGCACTGGGGCTGCCAGCGAATTTTCCTTGAATGGAGTCCTCTTCTGAGTGGAGAGAAAAGGAAGTCTGGTCCGTGTCAGTCTCGCTGTCATGGTGACAACCATCAAAGGCCATAGCTTGAGCTACATCAATATTGTACATTCCAGAAATCTGATAAAAAGACTTATGTTAGTAAGTCATGAATATGGTTTTATGAATAGGAATTACAGTAAAGGACTAAACAATCAGGTTTTCAGAATAGTTTCAATAAATGCTAAGAACGTTTTGCTTATTTTAAAGAATAGAATCTGGTTTTGCTTTTTGTGTCTGACTAAAAGTTATTTTAATAATAAATGGAAAACACTATCTCGCAGATTTGTTTTTAATAGAGATTTAGCAAGGTTTATAATTATTTCCATTGAGATATTTGACCATTATACACATAAATGTTGCAAAACTATAATGTCAATATTTTCTAATTTAGTCCTGGTCTGACAGACTGTTACACTCAATGCGTGTTTCCCCAGAGGGGAACAGTTTCCAGTTTTCCCCTTTGTTTCTGAGTAGTATGAAATGTTTGGCATAAGTTGGTGACTTGAAATTAAATATGATTTATCAGAAGAGCAATCTAAGCCAATTGGATTTGTTTTTCACTGTATTTTTCCTCTTTAGAGAAAACATAGCAGTGTGCCCAGTCAGTGCATTATTTGTCCAAAAACAGAACAATATCATCTGGGGATCCATTTTTGCTAAAATTTGGGCCATGGTTAGGAGGTGATTTTTGGCTGTTCTTCTAAAATGCAAATTGGCCAAACCTTCCCATTTTTGCTGAAAAGTACCCATAAATGATGCTAATGACCCAATTAAACAAACTTGAAATTGGCTTACTTCAAGGAGCATATTATCAATGCTTTCTGGCTCCAGTGCCTGACTGAATCTAAACTACCATTTCCCTTTAAGGTTTTACTCTGAGGGAGATACTGGTTCTCACTGGCACAGAGCTGTGTCTATGAAGTAGCTGTACTAATTGCTTTCTGAGAAAAAAAAATCACTTCTTGATCTACAGGGAAGTTAAAAAATGAAGAAATAAGATCCAGATACTATTGGATGAAATTATTCAGAATTCAAACAGGAGGCAGGAGAGTAAATTCTGCCAAAATGTGTATTTGGTTCACAGTAATTTAAAAGCCTACTATTTTACTGAATTCAAAAGACATGGAGACTAGAAGTAATTCAGACAGAGAAAGAAATACCAGATGATTTTACTTATATGTGGAATCTGAAGAACAAAACAAATGAACAAATAAACTGAAACAGACTCATAGATACAGAGAACAAACTGATGGTTGCCAGATGAGAGGGGGGCTGGGGGAGCTGGGTGAAAAAGGTGAAGGGATTAAGAAGTACAAATTGGCAGTTACAAAATCATCACGGGGATGTAAAATACAGCTTAGGAAGTATAGTCAATAATATTGTAATAACTGTATATGGTGTCAGGGTGGTGTAAGATTTTACAGGGGGATCATTTTGTAAATTATATAAATGTCTAACCACTATGCTGTACACATGAAACTAATATAATATTGAATGTCAACTGTAATTGAAAAAAGTCTATCTTTTATATTGAACCCAAAAAAAAAACCCCAAATTTTTTTAATTAAAAAAAAAAAGACATGGAGACTATGTATTCTGTGTAGTCAATAAACTAACCAGGGACCCATAGGAAGTGATGGTGTCTCTTTTTATTTTAATTGTAGAAACTTTCCATAATAAAATGGAAATGGACAAAATAAACACAAAATGAGATAAAGACTGAATAACTTTAGATAGCCAAAACTAACATTAATAATACATTCAAATCTGGATCTGAAGATAGAATAGCTATGTACAGTCTCTTCAGGGGTTTCACTAGCCACCCAGAATACTGCTGAGTCATCGCACTGGATATCCACTTTATTATCCTAAAAGAAATGTCATTATTGTGTTAAAGAAGACACAATCTTCTGTAAAGATCAAGGGGGCCATTTTCTTTTTCCATTATGATAATTTTGAGTTATCTATATAATTGATTAAATCTTGCAATATACCATTTGCTGGTAGGCTACTAATTTCTACAAATGTATAAGTTGGTTCCAATAAAAACAGTTTTAGAACTGCTTTTTAATTTTTCACTCCAGTCTATAAATAAGCACATAGCAAATACATATTATATCTTAACTATAGATTTAACTGTTTTAGACCAAGTTCTAAGTCCTGGAATTAGGAAAACGTTTGGATGAAGGGATAAGAGAGCAAATAGCTTCTTTTCTCCTTCCTGGGCAAAGGTCAACACTAGGGATAATTTCCCACAGCCCTGCTGTGCTCCCAGCCCCTGGTATCTGGGGGTGGTTGGGATGTGTGTGGTGGTAGGAAACGAGCTTTTCCTGACTTCATTATTTCATAGGAACTCCATTAGTCCAACATTCCTGGCCTTTTTTTTTTAAAGATTTTTATTGGGGAATTGGGGGGATGGGAACAGCGCTGGGAAATTGGGGGAAGGGGAACAGACAAGTTGCTGTCCTTTTGCCGGGTGAGGCAGATCAGTCGCCGGCTTCTGGACGGCCACTCACTGCAGCTGCTGACCGCTCACGCTGGCTGCTGGCTACACACGGTAGCCCATA